AATTCTGGGATGGGTGACCTCCTGGGAAGTTTTCCCGAGAAGTGTGCGAGTGAGAACAAAGCACACTGAAAAGTCTCGTGTTAGTGTGTGGGGACAGTCATTGATTCTTGCAAGTGGCCGGGCGTTATAGTCACCTTAGGAATAAGGGGCCAACTCGTCCATTTTAAGGTTCTGAACTAAGTACCTGTTGGAGTCAAGGGAGCCGTAGGAATATGGAAACTAGCGAGCCATCTAGACCATGAGTTGAGGAATCAGAGTTGGCAGGCAAAGAAACTGGGACAAAGCCAAAAGGTGCTAAGTCTTGAGCAGAGAAAACAGCCCCTTTAAGAGTGAAGCAGTGAATCTGTTCCTTCTGTTAAACTGTTTTAACCCCCACCCTGTTGTCTCTTGATTATAGTTATTTCTGTTTTAGTAGTTTTATTTTATTTTATTTATTACATATAAAAACTCCAATGATTGTTATCTCACCTTCTTCTAAACAGGAAGGATCACATACATAACGCAGCGAGCAACTGTTTTCCATCAGATTGAACCTACTGTTCCTGAGGAACGTTGTCAAGACAGTAGGGAACGTTTGAACAGACAGTTCATTTACTAACTTTTCTTCTCATTTTCACTCTTTATAAACAGTGATAAAACAATAATTAGCACTATATCCTCATGGGAACGATAATTTTGGCATTAATACTCCCTTTATTACTTGATGCGTGCACTTGCACACTTGGGTTGGAACTAAGGGATGAATCTGTGTTCTGCAAGAACAGAGGAATGTCCCTTATCAGAACTTATATTTTTCCACCATCAGCAAACAACCCAACAGTCGACGATGGACAATCTTTAGAGTAGTGGCCCTCCCTGCCACACTGGAAGCATATCAACTCGCCTGAAGAACACGACCCAACATGAGTCTTCCCACATTCCGAACATCTGGGAGCAAGAGGTCTCGATGTACTCCCTTAAGCGGAAGTCCTCTTAAATTGACCAGGCGCCTGCCTAGCCGCAAACTGTTTCCCTTTGCCTTTGCTCCCAAACTTCCTGTCCCTCCAGGAAGTGGAACTACTAGTTCCCTTCGTCTCAGCAATCTTGGCCCTCTTGGCCTTACTCGAGTTGCAGAAATCCTCGATGTCCCGACACTGCTGCACCAGTGTCCCGAAGTCTCTCGAAGAAGAACCAGCGAGGTAACCAGCAATATCCTCATTAAGTCCCCTGCGGAACTTAGCAGCCAAGAAGATCAGAGTAGGCCTCTCCATCCGAAAGTGAGCGAACTTAACCAGCTCATTGAACTTGGCCAGGTACTCATCAACAGACAACGAGACCTGTACCAACCTGTCGAATTGCCCCTGCTTCCGCTCCTGAGCATCATAAGGGAAGTACCGACCAAGAAAGCAATCCTCGAAGAATGGCTATGTCATAACATGACCCTGCATCTCAAAAGCATGAGAGGTGTTCATCCACCACTCATAGGCATCGCCCTCCAGCATGTACGTAGCAAACATCAGCTTCTGAGGATCGGTGCACTGCATCACACGGAAGATCTTATCCAGTGCCTGTAGCCATCTAGCCGCAGCAATAGGATCATAAGACCCATCAAAGGAAGGTGGTGTATGCTTGCGGAAAGCATTAAGCCAGCGATCAATCACATCTCTATCTTCAGCAGGCTCTACAAAGGGTTCCATCACCCCAGTCAAGTGACTAATGCCCTCAACCTGGCTCTGGCCCTCGTCCTGCAGACTAGGTGGAGGCGGCAGCGACGACGACGGTGGAGGTGGTGGCGGTGGGAACTGACCAACAGCAAGACCAGCTCTCATCTCTTCCAACATGACCCTCATCATGGTCATGTTCGCCAAACGGTTCACCTCAAGAGCATCCTTCATGGCCTTCTGGTTCGCCTCTCGAGCGACGTCCATCATTGCCACGTTGGCCAATCTAGCAGCCTCCTGGATCTCAGCTAATGAAGTCAGGATCGGGTCGGGTTGACCCTCAGCAGTCTCGCGAGTTCTCCTGGGTATTACCATGACTCTGCACAAGTTACACAGATTATGAGTTGATCAGGCCCACGCAATACAATCACATATGCATTATCACAATAAAACTCAACGGAGCAAACACACAAGACAAGACACCACAAAACATTCTAAGCTATTGCAATACATACAGACTTTTCCCTAGAAAGTGCTCTGATACCATAAAAAGTAACACCCAGTGTATACCCGGTTTGTTAACATGTCATCGTATTAAGCCACGCTTAATTAAATATGCGGAATATCTTTTTCTTTTCAATTATGACGTCATTAATATTAGCCAAGTTGATTACTTAATAAATTTTCATAAAAACATCACCTGCATGTAAATTGCAAAAGACAGATAACTGAAATACCTCATTAATAAATAACAGTGAGTATCTAAAGTCACGGATCTACAACACATAGCCCGGACATAATCCTGATACATTATACAACTCCAAACTAAGACAAGGCCAAGTCAAATCTATGTGGCATGGACAATCCCCATGCTTACCACATCGACTGCATAACTGTTGGGTGGTTTACTAATGGTGGAAAAATATAAGTTCTGATAGGGGACGTTCCTCTGTTCTTGCAGAACACAGATTCATCCCTTAGTTCCAACCCAAGTGCGCAAGTGCACGCATCAAGTAATAAAGGGAGTATTAATGCTCAAATTATCGTTCCCACGAGGATAGAGTGCAAATTATTGTTTTATCACTGTTTATAATGAAAATAAGAAGAAAAGTTAGTGAATGAACTGTCTGGTCAAACGTTCCCTACTGTCTTGACAATGTTCCTCAGGAACAGTAGGTTCAATCTGATCGCAAACAGTTGCTCACTGTGTTATGTATGTGATCCTTCTTGTTTAGAAGAAGGTGAGATAATAATCATTGGAGTTTTTATAAGTACTAAATAAAATAAAATAAAAATTACTAAAACATAAATAACTATAATGAAGAGACAACAGGGTGGTGGTTAAAACAGTTTAACAGAAGGAACGGATTTACTGCTTTACTCTTAAAGGGGCTGTTTTCTCTACTCAAGACTTAGCACCTTTTAGCTTTGTCCCAGTTTCTTTGCCTGCCAACTCTAATTCCTCAACTCTAATTTCCATTACCCAAGTTCCTTTCGGACTGCAAACCCTCCAGGATTCGATGATGTTTTTGTATGAGGGTGGTCCTATATATAGCTGGAAGAGGAGTGGCAAGACTGTAATTCCTTTGGAGCTAGTTGCTTGAATGAGGGGACGAGACTGTGGCAGCAGAGTGTGAAGCTTGAGTGAATTGCTGGATGGAACAGGATTTGGTGATGATTAGCCGTTGTTTGCAGACCTTCCCATGCTTTGCTTCTATTTTCAGCCAATGAGAACTCTTGATTCTCTGCTCTTCAGGTTTCCAGCTGCTCAGTTGGTGCACCACCTTGCTTTTTAGAAGTCTTTAACTCTACGTTACCTGCAAAGTGCACAGAAGCATTAAATGAATGGAGCAGGTGCATTAAATGCGTCTCAGTCCGTTCCCCTTTTAATATATTTTTAAGGAATACGTTACCATCTGTTCTCCCACAGTGTTTTTGTCACAAATGTGTAAAACAAGTGATTTTCATGCTGAAGTTGCTCATCAGATGAGAGAACGTATTGTATTTTGCCATCAAAATGGGCTTAGATGGGAACAAATTTACGTCCCATCAAACACCCCAAAACTAAACTGTTGGTTGTCCTCAAACAACTCAGAAATATTGTATTGGTCTGCCCAATTTAAAAGAAGAGCATAACAGAAAGGAACTTTAGCCAGTGAGCAACCATGAAATTTTCAGAAAATGAACTACTCTCCATAGTGAATAGTAAGAGGATTATGTCCCCAGATAAGAGAAGGTTGCTGATCTTTTGTCTCACTGTCACTCATGGGTTAATGTTTGCTCTGCCCATTCCTGGATGTGATTCTTCAGAACTTGCCTTTCTGCTGCGTTCCTATGAAGTACAGTTGTCTTCTGTTTCAAGGATTCTTTGATGGGTAAGTGTATGGAAATGTGGAAGAAGTGGTGGTCTGATTTGTGGGATCAAGGAACGTTTAGCTTTTGTGCCTTTGAACTTGGATTTTTTCTATTTTGAGGGAACACCTTTTCTTGAACCTTTTTCCCCCTTTGGAGGAAGGTTTTCTGGTTTTTTCTTGAATTCTTTTGAATGGTTGTTCCCCTTTTTTCTTTGTTTTTCTTCTGTCCTTTTTTTTGTTCATTGTTGAGTACGTTCCTTGTTCTTTCTGATTGACCAGATGGTGTATGATGGAGGTGAGGTGAGTGGGTGATTCTGTTTTGATCCTTGACAGCAGAATTCATCTGTCTTCAGCAGTACTTGCAGCATTAAGGCAAGCTGAGAAGTTTCATTGTGGTTACACCTCAGGAACGCTCTCAGATAGTGAATAGTTTGGCATTTTTCCGTTCCTTACCAGTTTGAGTTCACACAGATCAGCTTCTTTCAAAAATTTGATGATTAAATTCCCTGCACTGTTTCTATTTTCAAGTACCCAGAGAAAGAACAAGCATGATTAGTCAGTGACTTTGTCTTTCATGTATGTTAGTTAATCCAAAAGAATTGGGCAGTCTTAATACTATAACTGAAATGCATGCATATACCAAACAGTTTGATCAAAAAGTCTTTTTTATTGCAAAAAAAACAGATTAATTACAAGGGAACGGAAAGGAAAAGAAATTAAAACAGAACTGAACATAAACTAAGCTAAGATAGATAGGAGGGTTTTCTCCTTTTTATTGGGATTGTGTGGTGAGGGACCACCCCAAAACTACATTCCTGGAACGGAACGTACTTTATTTGGACTTTTTGGAGAGGAACATCAGATGTTCCCTCCTTTTTGGGAGCTATGTGGTTATGGATAACCACCCCAAAACTTTGCTCTTTGTTAGAGAGCAAAATGTATCTACTGGGTTGCCTCCCAGTCAGCGCTTAGTTTAATGTCTTTAGCTAGACATGGTACTTACCTCTCAAGGGGTTTCAGAAAGAAGGATACTTTCCTCTTTTTCATCAAAGGTTTCATCATTGTATAGTTTCAACCTGTGCCCATTTACCTTGAAGGAACGACCATGTTCTGAACCTTGGATTTCAAAAGTTTCGTTTCCTGCATCATTAACAATTTGATATGGCCCGGTCCATCTTGATTTGAGTTTACCTGGGAACAGTCTGAGTCTGGAGTTGAAGAGTAGCACCTTCTGACCGATTTTGAGATCTCTGTTCCTGATTCTTTTATCGTGCCACTTCTTCATCTTCTCCTTGTACAATTTATGATTTTCGTATGTGTTCCCTCTGAACTCCTCTAATTCTTCGAGTTGCAGCAATCTCTTCTTTCCACCTGTTTTTTCATCCATGTTGAGGGTTTGGACTGCCCAGTAAGCCTTGTGCTCCAG